TTGTTTCACTTACTATTTCTTCTGCTCCTCCTCCTCCTCTGTTGGTTTGTTTGTTTGTTTGTTTGTTTCACTTACTATTTCTTCTGCTCCTCCTCCTCCTCTGTTTGTTTGTTTGTTGTTTGTTTGTTTCACTTACTATTTCTTCTGCTCCTCCTCTCCTCCTCTGTTTGTGCGTGTGAAGGTCTCACAGGCTTGTTAAGGAGTCTGAGAAGCACTACAAGGAAATTGTCAAGGTGTTGGAAGTAAGCAAATCTATACTGTAGATCTCTCTATCCATGTATGAGTTGTGACTTTCACGACGTCACTTAAAGCACTGCAGTACTACTATAGTACAGTGTCACTCTGTACTGTAGACTCTCAGCATAGCTTAAAGGTATTCATGTGAACTAGGATGTCACTCTGTGTATGTGTAGTAATTTGAGTGTGCCCGTTATACAATTGTATGTTTGTGTGCTGAGCTTAGACTTGATATCCCCCCTCCTACTCTCTTCCCTCCCCCACCACAGAATGACCAGCGATATCTGGTGCTGGAGTGTGCCTCCGAGGAGAGAGACAGGATCCTCCACGACTACATGGCGGAGCTCCACCGGAAGGGCCCTCCTCCTCCACCCACCGCCTCCAACCCTTCGGAGAGACTCCGCAAACCATGAACCATACATACCTCAATATATACACACAGTGTCATGCATACATAAGTAATGCACACTCTGTTTGCTGTATAGGCTACACTTGCTGGTTGGCTATTCACAGAGTTTGCAAGGTTTTTTTTAATGAGCGATACAAAAATTGAGTAGAAGCAGTATTATATATAACTGGTCAACGTCTAGATATGGATCAAAGTTTTTTTAAATGAGCGATACAAAAATTGAGTAATTATTTAGAACTGGTCAACGTCTAGATATGGATGTAAAAAAATGTAAGAAAGCGTACTACAATGTAAAAAAAAAACACGGCACATTACTATGTAGTTGGCGTTTTTTTGTTCATAAGGTTTTGCGTGTGATCTTGTTTCGACTGGACAGCCTGTGTGTGAGAACAACTCGAGTCATGTAACGAGTAAAATGGAGGGTATATATGTTCAAACCTTTCGAATCTCTTGCTCTTTCGCTTGCGCATGCTGGTTCCCTCCTGCAGTAGCTTGTACTGGGTCCTACCACTGTATTATGTACAACAAACACCAGTCAAAACAAACTATAGCTAGTCCCAGTAAGAGGTGCATTATACACACAAACAGCAACTATAGCTGTACTGCAGTTGCAGCAGTATCCTGACCTGTATCTGAATGTGGATCCTCTTCTTAGGAGGCTGACGGCCGACGGTCTACGAGTGATGTCCGTTTTCACAGACCTGATGTGAGCAAACGAAAGTTTAAAATCTTGATCTCTCATACGAGGCTTTCCACCTAGCCCTCACGGCATGACTGAGGCTAACATTGTGCCTTTACCTAAAGAAAGAGTGATGCTCCACACAAGACTTCCACAGCGTCTTGCAGGCCACTTTTGTTCGGCAGTTCATGACTATGGTCTCAGTGAACGGCTGGTTCTGTAGGACAGCAGTAGTTGTGGCCAACCTATAACGGGATAATTGGAGGGTTTCACTCACAGGTGGCGGCATCATTTCGAGAAGCAGCTGCTTTCCCTTGAAGTTGACAGCTGCAATACGCACCCTGCACGCAACACATGACAAGCAATAAGTCTCACTGGACGGAGGAGGAGGGATAAAAAGGGAGGGGGAAGGGGAGTATATAGGGAGGAGACAGACCAGGGGAAGTGGTTGAGTGAGGTGAGAAGGTTGTCACCACAGAACACTGTCAGACCGTGAGACGACACCCCCACGAACAAGGTCGACATTAGACACATCCTGACACAGAGAGAGAGAGAGAGAGAGAGAGAGGGAGAGTAACACATCTTTAACCAAAATCATTGACTGACTGCAATGAGATGAAAGTCCATTCCGTAGCGATCAAGTTTGCACGCTATGGCCAGGAACTTTTTGTCGCACTCAGCAGGCAGGGCTCTCCTGTGGTCAACCAATAGTGGAGAATAATGGAGGAAGAGCAACAAGTGCACACACAGACACACAAAATCAGCATTCTGAGTCTAACGAGTCGTTTGGCAGCGCAGGCAGCACGGCACATTTAAAGACTGAACAAGGCACAAGTTTACACACCTGTGCTGAATGTGGAGTTCGGTCACCTTCGTCTTGAATTCTGGGTCCTGTGATGAGAGGGAGGGGGAAAGAGGTCAGTAATACATGTCCTGGACCCCAACGGGACGGAAGAAAATGTATTAGTGACGTGTCCTCAAACTGTAAAGGTGTCCTTAAAGAGAGGTTTCCCCTCATTTCAGAGGTGTCCTTATAAGAGAGGTTTACCCTCAGTTCAGAGGTGTCCTTAGAGAGAGATTCTTGTGTACATACATACACACTAGTTTCTGATCTCACTCTGTTCTCCAGCAGCGGAAAGTCGTCCAGATAGTCCGTACCATGCTCAGCCGGGTCATAGTCCCCAAACTCCCCTAATGGAAATGCATACATGACACACGCTACATGGTACTAAAGAGCATGGTAATACCTGTAATAGGCATTGTGTACACAGCATATGATATGTTAGCTAACAAGCCGTTACCTTGTACCACGTAGCTAGTGAGCATAGCCTTTGTGTCCTCTGAGCAATAGAGCCTGTGGAAGATTTTCAATGTAAGACAAATTATGGACACACAAATGGTAAAGACATTACTTTTCATTGACGAGGTCTTCCTTGATCTGCAGGGCCAGGAAGTACCTGTGGAAACGAGAAGGTGATGACAGAGGTTGTGGTTGATTACGCAGAGCTGACCTGGTGCCCTCCTCAAAGAGGTAGATGGGAGAAATTGGGTAGAGTTTGACGCGGAAACGAAACGAGTAGGAGCCTTTGCCCACTTGCTTCTTGATCACCTTGTATGGATCCAGCCAGTGCTGTGGGGGGAATTGGGGAGGGGGGAGAGGAGAGAGAGAGAGGAGAGAGAGAGAGAGGAGAGAGAGGAGAGAGAGAGGAGAGAGAGAGAGAGAAGAGAAGAGAGAGAGAGGGAGGATGTCAGTGCACTGTACAGCTTCCAACACTGCCTCTGCTATTTTGAAAGACGTCAACAGTGACTGTCATGCTCTTGGGTGCCGTGTAAACTGCCGTGCCATTTCTTTAGGCAGGCGGCTCTTTAAACACCCGCTGAACTCTCATTTAGCCTACATACACACGTATGCAGATTCAGTTACACATGTATGTAGGCTTCAATTCTGAGCTCAGATTGCTAGGCATTAGGTATATTATTACTAAATCAGCAATACAGAAACCCCACTACCAAATTCCCCCAGTTTTAGTCTGTTGCCCAAGTTGTATACATGTACTTGTTGTGTAAAGGGTGTTGGGGGATCCAGTTAGCGACTCAGTTTGCACAGTGGAATGTCGGCAATTCCTACATAACACTCCTACTAGCACCTGGAATTCGGTACACAAGTATTGGGTATACATGTATATATATGTTATGAATAAGCAAAGAGACACTCCCTATCCTTAGCTCCCTATCAATACTGTAGTTAACAGAAGGTGCAATGTAGTACAAACACATACACACTTCATCTGCCCTTGTGTAGGGCAGCACTTCCACGAACGAAAGCAGGACTGTAAAAAATCTCACGGTTGCAGCGGCTTCCTATTTAGACATCTCCAAGCAACACAAACGAAGGAGGGAGCAGTTGGTATTGGGGTGTCAGGACAGACCTCAACAAAAGACTGTTTGTTGACAACTACAAACACATGTGCACAGCTGGTGGACACAATTAGAGCAGCAGTCTTGCTTAGCCCTATATATGCATGCTTTACTTAGCTACTGGCAATGTTTGGCAAACTGTAAGAGTATAGTGAGATTCTCTCTCTTTCTCCCTTGTTTCTCTGACCGTGCAAGAAGACACTCACAACGTTCTGTTTCTTGTCGATGAACTGGAGCCCAAAGTAGTCGGTCTCCTCCAGCCCCAGATGTTTGTACACCTCCTCCAGCAGTATTTCACCAGTGGCTTTTGTCTGGAGGTGCAGAAAGAGGGAATAAGGTTTACTAAAATGCCTGCAGAGGTATATAGCTACTGAAGTTGGAGTAAAATTGGTCGAACAAAGACAATGCAAGGAGCCAAATTCGGTTCTTCTACGGAGACCACGAATAAAGCCCCAGCGAAGGGTGTGTCGCCATCGCTCCCTAGAGTTGGCGGCTGGCCCCCCTTCGCGCGCGTCTGACGAACTTACGTTGACGTCTATGTTGATGTTGGAGCCGTCCAGGACCTGGACTTGGCAGGTGATTATCTTGGCCATCCACAAAGAAGCTCAGTCACGGATCGGCTCGACAGAAAAGCCTGCTCTGCTGAAACACTCCTACAGGTCGTGCAACCGCTGCGGTTTTTGGAGAAACGTTACGTCACGTTCCCGGAACGGAACGAACGCAAAAGTAGCTCCACCCATGCACTACGTCATTGACTTCTTGGTGATTGATGGGCCATGCTGAGCCTAAAGCTAACCCGAATCACTCTGAAGATGGCTGACTTTGACGAGTATGATCAGCTGAAGAGAGAGTCAGAGAAGGCGATGGACACCTCTCCACCCCAGCCTGCAGGAGATGGCGGCTGCTCTCGTACCCAGCCCAAGACCACGCCCAGAGCTGCAGCGATGGGGGGAAGAGGAAGAGAGGGGAGGCGACCAGTCAGAGCATCCACCCCAGACTCACCAACAAGCTGACATGCCTTCATCCAACCATCTGGCACAAAGCACCATTCAACTCTCACGCTTTTCATTGTCATAAATCTTCTGATATGTACACGACAAAATTAATTTAAACACACTAACATCACTGCCTAGCTGCTGAGACCACGTCACACTATACAGACACACATAATAAGTCAGTTTTGTCCAGCAGAAGCAGCTGACGATGACGACGATGAAGACGTGATGTTGAGTGCCGCCATATACTCTGACACAAGGTGGACAGCCTGCAGAGTTTCGAGATAGTTTCTTGCATCACACAGCCAGTCCCGGGCCACCCTCCGCGGCACCCCTCGCAGCAGATTCACGTATCGCACGGCCAAATCCATGTCCCCCCGTCGCATGCAGGCGTCGGCTCTCTCCAGAATCTCAAACGTGTCCAGCTTCTCCAGGTCCTGCTCTTCCTCTCCCAATCGCACCACCCTCCCCACAAACCGCCAGCTGACAGTCAACATTGACTGGAGGTAGGAGAGGGCGTAGGAACCCATGCCTCTGCCTCCCTCTGGGACCAGTGCCACTCTTCGACACACCCTCTTCACCTTCACAAACCTCTCCCTCAGCCCACCTTCTCCCTGTATACCAGCACCGCCGCTGGGCGCTGGGGAAACTGCCGCAGATGGCAGTGAATCCAAGACCACCAGGACAAACGGATCGTTCCTGGCCGCGTCTCGGAGTGCGGTCACTTCTTGCTGGAAGGAAAAGTGCTCATCAGGATCGGCGCTAGCACTGGCTGATTTCAGTGCCGTGTGGAGGCTGTCGCAAGCTGCCTTCATGCCTTGTTGTCTCTTGGTCTCATTACCTGGAGGCAACAGGAGAAACAGATGGGAGAGTCATGCCTGTGTTTAGATCCATGGCATTGTACAGCATTGAAAGTCAAGATGATCTTGTATCACACACGAACTGCCACGCAGCCTTGTACTTTGAAGCGTTTCAGTGGTACACAAGATGTGTATGGAGACAAGACAAAAGAGGAGAGAGAGAGATATGAGGGAGCACGTGTGTGTGTGTGAAGTGAACCTGCTGCTGCGATGGTGTTCACCACGTACTCGATCCCCCTGAGTCTAGAGAGGGCAAGAGTCAGCTGCTTCTGGTAGTGATTCTCCTGTTCTGTCAGCTTAACCTCCAGCTCCCCCAACCACTTCTCCGCTAGCTGCTCTGCCTACATAACGCACACACAATGTAAGCTACCAGTGGAACCCCACCCCGCCAGTAGATGCTGGAGTAGCGATGTGTACCTGAGTGTCGAGAGCCTCGGTGAGAAGACGTTTGTGTGAGTCTGTCTGCCTCTTGAGCTGCTCCCTCAGTTCACTCTGGTACTCTCTGTGAATCTTGTCCGCCTGAACACACACACAGACACACACACACGCACGCACACCTGGTAAATTACACTGTATGCAGGAAATGGTAGAGAGACACTAATGCAGGGAATGGCTATTACCTGATAGCTGAGCTCCTGTTGCATCTCTCTCTCCTTGTCTCGGAGGCTCCACTCCAGTCTCCTCTCGGCCAACTGATCCAGACTCTTCTTCTGCTGGTCCAATGCTGCACCACAAAGTGAGAGAAACAGTGCTCACCCCTCCCGTCATTCCTCTCCCCCTTCTCTCTTTCCCACCTGCAGTCAGCCTCTGTTGGTGTTCCTTCTCCAGTCCCTTCAGCTTCTCCTTCAGTACCTCCACACGTCTGCCCAGCATCACCAGAACTGCCTCCTGTCTGCTGTCCCCCTCTGGTACCTCTCCACCCAGCTCCCTGCACAGGGTGTATAACACTCTATGATTTACCTACAGTATATATACAGTGGAACCCCTCTTAAGGACACACCTGCAATTAGGACACCATTCCTTTTTATTTACCTGACACACACATACAGTTCTAAGTTTAAGCCCCCGAAAGAAGGACACTCTTATTAATACGGACAATATATCTTTCTTCCATTGTTTACAACAACCTCTGGAGTTGCTCTCGGTCCTTTTGGGCCTGTCTGTGGTAGTCCTGCAACAGTTCTCTCTCAACCTCAGCCTGTTGAACGGCAGTGGAGCCCTCTGCTAGTCTCCCCGCACACTCCCTCACCCTCTCCTCAACCTCTGCAACCTGACACACACACATGTCACTGTACTAGTATGCAAAAAAACTCTCGTCTTCCAAACCTTTGACTTGAGTCCTAGGTCGACTGCTTGGTCCATCAGCTGGCTCAGGCTCAGAGCCACATTCTTGTGCCATTCAACTGCAGTCTTCAGAGCCTCTCGAGATGCCTGCACTGCTTCTTCGGCTCTCTGGACTGCATCTAGTGAACCGCATTGGCTATAATCATAACAAAAACTGCGACAACAATCTGTTAGAACATCTAACCTGCAGTTTCATAGACACTGTCCAGGCCTTCATCGACACTGCTGTTAGTGACGTCTCTCACCAGGCGGCTATGTTCCTGCGTAGTCTTCAGCAAGCTGTTCTGAGCCTCCTCCACTCTGGCCGTCTGGGACAGAAACTCCTCCAATGTCTGGTCCAGTTTCCCCTCCGCCTATTGTACAGTCAAGTGGTTGCGTTACTTGTTGACATTTAGACAGTCTAGTGGTTTTGGGACTCATTCTGACCTGTGCTGAGTCTCGGAGCCAGTTGAGGTGCTGGTCAGCCATCTGTACCTCCTGTGCCTCCCTCACTCTCTCCTCCCTCACCTCCTTTTCCACCTTCTCCACTTCGCCTCTCACCTCCTCCAGCACTTTCTCCACCTCAACCTTACCCTCTTTCTCAACCTCTTCCTTCTCCTCTTCCCCTACCTCTTCTCCCTCCCCTTCCTTTCCTACCTTGTCATCTTCTCCTTTCACCTCCATCTTCTCCTTGGCACCTCTTTCTCCCTGACTGCTGCTCACAACCTCCTCCACTCCACCCACCTCTTCTCCCTTCACTTCCACCTCTCCACCACCCAGCTTCTCCACATCCACATCTTTCTCATCTTCCCGCACTGACTAAATTTAGAAAAAATCACAGAAGACCACTCAAAAGAATTTTGAAGCGAAACATGTAAAATTACCCGCTGACTTGTTTCCTTTTTAGTAAGATCGGGGTGGGTATGATCTGGATTTGGTTCTGAAGATTGATTTGCGGTGTTGGTATCAGTCTTGCGACCCTCTGCCCTCTTCCCGGTATCCCACGGTCTATTTTGCCCACCACCACTCCCTCCACTAGTCCAGCGGCTTTCCTCGCGCCTGCTGCTACTGGGAACAGGCCGAGGGTAGCCGGTACGTTCTACTAACAGGTCCGCTGTGGTGTCGGCCCATCGGGAGAACCCAGGTACAAACTCGTCCACCTGGTTCTTGAAGACTGGGTCATAATTAGCATAGGCTAGAGCTCCTCCAGCAACCAGTCCAGACGTAGTGAGAGTGTAAACTGCTACACGACCGAGTCTGAAGCCTTTCCTTCCTCCAGTGCTCCTTGGGGTTAGCGTACAGTACGCCAGAACTCAGTTAGTAAAGACTACAACTTACTGTTTGGTTGACTGGTACCTCGCCAACGAGAGAACACCACGTGGTCGATGCTGAAACGGAGTAGAGGTGGGCTTCAATTAGAATGTGACGCACTTATTCGTCGCGTGTGGCTAATCTAGGCACGCCACTGCATGTTTAGCGTTTCTGAGTAGAACATACGTTTCTCAGTGTCCTTCTGCTGGCTGCAGCAACTCTGCAAAAACAGAGAAGTCGCGAAGTAGACATTGCCAGATGACCGCAGCACCCACGTGATAAGTCACATGATCGCGTTGCCTTGGCAATAACGGCGGGAAAATACGAGCTGCAAACCCCACATGGATCTCTATGGAAAACTGCAACTAAAGTAAGCCTGTTTCTGGACACTTGCAGGGTTAACTAAACTTTCTAACGGATTACAAACGTTGCAATTGTGCAGGTGGTGCGGAGGGTACGACGGATCTCCCACCAACTTCGTCGACAACTCCACGCTGGTGCACAGCAGTGGCAATGCTCTGCGCTTTACGGATCAAAGTGGAAGGCACGTGAAGAGTCTTCCCAGCCTCGGCTGTGGAGTGGGGCCCATCACGACCGCCCCCCAGGCCAACACCATCGTGTACGCCGAGTCTACTCTGCACCCGAGGCTATTTGCCGTCGGCTACCCGAGCTACCAGCTGCTCGCCACCCTAGAAGGTATTGAATGTTGCCCACGAATAGATGTGAGACGGGACGTGCATATCGCAAGTGTGTGACTTGAGCATTGGGTGCAGGTGGAGCTGAACTTGAGTATGTCTCGCTGGCCATCTCCAGCAGTGGAAAGAAGCTTGCCAGCCTCTCGGGAGTCCCCGATTTCCTCCTCGTTTTATGGTGACTTATTCCTCAAGCATACACTACTTGAGCTCATGGGCACTCATAGATTTTAACCTTGCACTTAGGATATGAGGTTAAAAAGCTATGGTGCAGTACTACCTTTACATCATACCTTCACTACTTAAGACTGTTGACCACTGCATTGGTGTTTATGTGCAGGGATGTGCAGGAAGGTTGCGAGCTGTGTCGCACTAGTGTTGGCCCTGGCTCCAGTCAGCTCAGTCTGAATCCACTCAACTGGCGACAGATATGCATACTTGGCCCTGAACAGTTGACACTATACCTACTGGAACAGTGCGATGACAACCAGCTCGTCCTTACAGCTCAGTGAGTCCTTCCTGCTTGGTCCTCACTCTATCACTCAAAATTGCCATAGGGAAACGAGTCTTCCTGAGGTTAACACGGAGGTCAAGGCTTCAGTCCAGCCTCCTCAGCTCCCACTGTCCGTTGCTCACGTCCAGTCAAAAGCCAGCGAAAAAACAGAGTCACACCACGTAAGAGAGGATCACCCCAAGCAGCCCGACCTCTCAAGGGTTCTCTACCGGGAGACATACGATGAGTATACTCGGGAAAGGAGGCCTGTGGTGCTGACCAGTCACTGCTGGAACTCTCAACAGTCTCTCTTTGTTGGCTGCAGAGGCGGGCAGTTGTTAAGCACTGATTTCGACACTGCCATCATACAAGTATTGGCCAACCCACGGCTCGCTCAGGTGTAGCCCAAAACTACTGCAGTCCATTTGCGTATATTACACTCCCTATCCTCGACAGCAAAGCATGGGTAGAGAGGAGTATGAGGAGAAGTCTCACCAGCAGGGTGGAGCGAGAGATGGAGAAGAGATGGAAGAGTTACCAAACACTGCTCATGCTGTCCTCCGTGAAGGTTCTCTGGAGTGTCTGGCACTTGGCAGGAGAGGACTGTTTGCAGCAGGGAAGGTCAGTTGCCATAATGTTAGTGCTCCTCTGGATGGGTCTGTCTCATCTTTCTTTGACTCAATTGCTATAGGGTGGTGTGATCTACTGCTTTGCTATATCGCCCGAACTAAATGTATTAGACACACATACTCTACAAGAAAGAGACGTCATCTCTAGTCTGTCCTGGTCTCCAGATTTTACCAGACTGGTGATAGGAACGCAGCAGGTAAACCCAATTATTGACTTTTCAGCTGTCTTCCAATGAGTGTCTAACGTACACACAGGCAGCCATCCATGCTGCAGATCCACTTCATCTGTCAGCATGCTCTCTACTGTTTCCTCGAGGCCTCTCTACCATAGTAGGTATCGACATGCTCACCCCTGGATCACAACACGTTGTGGTACGTGTACGCGCCACGGCTGGCAGCTATAGCTATATATAATAGCATTCCTCTGTGTGCAGACCGGCAGAGCTGATGGAACAGTCCAGGTGTGGTCAGTACCAGACGCCAGCCTGGTCTCAAGCTTTAGTCTTAACCATGAGGTTCAGACACCCTGAATCTTTCATGGACCAGTGTTGACGGTTGCTCTTTCTGCAGACATGCTGTGTCCTGTGTCCGATGAGCTGTAGTGTGGCAATAATCGGGTGTGTTTCTGGTCATGTGGCTGTTGTGGGTCTCACGCAGCCTGACTCTCCCCGACTACTGGCATTGACACGACTCTATCGCTCTCCAACCACCCGCCTCAGGTTCTCTAGTCTCTCCATTAGACTTCTCTCCAGAGAATCACCCACTTGTCGTTTGTGTGTCGATCATTTTGCACAGGAGTGACCAGAGAGGTCTTTTCCTAGTGGCCGCTTCGTCATCTGACCACTCTGTGTTTGTGTGCAGTGGTATTGTGTCCAAGGGAATAGAGGTCTTAGGGCATACAGGTATAGTAGCAGGATTATGCACGTACAAAATATGGGCTGGTCAAATGCAAAGTAATTGTGTGCATTAATGAAAACTGCACATGTCCACAATATTACACTGCCATGTAATACACCGCATACACAGTCCAACTGTCCTTACGAAATTTGGATGTATACATACACATCTGCAAGTTTACATACTAAGCTTCGTACTCAAATTGTGTTCTAGGGTTCAAGCACAGTACGATCATTCATTAGAGTTATTTTCCTCCCGGCCTGTTGGTCTGTTCCTGGTAACCCAGAACAGAGTTGATAAGCTCTGGGCTGGGATTATCGACGGGCAAAATGTTGCAACAAGCCACTGGAACACCGTTTTCGTCCGCGAGGGCAAGCGAGCGACCGATGATGCTAAACGGTCCAAACAGAGGCAGCCAGGATGTCGTGTCTTGCCTGACAACGCTCTCCCGCCCACGGGGGCTGGTGGTTTTGTACTCGAGGACCCCAACGGGAAGAACATCACCCGTTGGTTTGTCACCCACGTGTGAATTGGAGATGAGCGCGTTGGTGAAAATGCGTGGCTTGTCGTAGATTCCACCAGCTTCGCATTCACTCGTGTCGGTGACTTTGTCTGTTCGGACCTGCAAGTACGCCTTCTCTTGGTCCAGACCAGTTATGTAGGCGCGGACGTGTGTACGATCGTTGGGGTCGCTCTGGAAAAACAAGACGTCGATGTTGATACGGGGCCTCTTGATGCAGTTGACACGGGCACACAGCTGGTTGATCTTACTCCAGGTCGCGCACTCGACAACACCAAGAGTGATTGCATCGTGGAACACGAGGATGGTGTCCTCTATCTGGGACTTAGAGAGAAGGCCAAGCTGGTCGTCGTGGCAAAATGCTCGATATCTGAGAACATCATCCTCAAGTTCGGGAGTGTCTTTATCAAAAACTTCGGGAAGGAGAGATCCGCACTTTGTATTGAGGTCACCAGCCGGGCATCCCCGTGGATTTTCACGAGAGCATCGCTGAAAGGCACCGTGGTGTATTTCATCTACGTGTGTGTTGTTACCATACACCTGTAATGGGAACAGATTGTGGTCACCACAAAATTACCCCCCAAAATTGAGATTGGTTCACTTACCGGTCCAATGTTGTCGCAAGTTCCACTCCTGAGGTACCAAAGTAACTCTGGTGGTGGCTGGTCAATGAATTGACGAACAGTTGTATCACAGGATTGAGTGAACTCAGCACGCAGAGTCGTACCAGACCGACCGTTCTGGCGACGGAGGATGACGTCACCGCTCAGCTGGTCACTAAGAGCTGCCCTGTACGTGTGCAGCTTGACACCCTGGTACTCGATGTTGGCACAGGCAATGGAGGGAACACGAAGTGTGCTTCTGATGACAATGGAGCGACCGATGGGGGAATCCGGACCAAACAAACTTAGAACATCGTCTGAGAACACCTGCGGCTCAGAAGTAGCCTCCAATGGTGAATGCCGGAATCCCACATTGCCAACACAACCCCTCTCGATCACGTTCTGCGGCGGTCCGGCGCATAAGACAGGATCGCCGTAAATACCCCCCACTCTTCCTCTTCCTTGGCCGTTGCCAAACTCGCAGGGGAAGTCTGGGTACTCGGTGAACTCGACAGGAAACTCGTGGATGCTCCAGTCAAATTCCTGCGGCTCGTACTGCTCAAGGCCAGTGAGTTTGACAGTGATGGTAACGTTAGCACCAGGTTCCGCCTGATTGAAGCAGATTTCACCTCGAATCCCGGCCATCTCGAAGTGAGCCGATACAGTCATTCCGGGTCCCACACGTGGATCATGGTCTGCAAGAAATTGAGAATATTATTTTTTTAAATCTTTTCCGACAGCATTGCAAAGACCCAGGCTATGGACGTCGTAGCTATGTACATGCTGATGAATATCTATGCGCTATAATGTCGTCAGCCACACGGCCCTGAGATTACGCTCATCAACGGCTAGCTAAACAACCTCCGTGCGGTCGGCTGTCCTGGTGGTAGCCCCCGTAGCTTGTTGCACTGCCCACGGCCACAATCGACGCCAGCACGAGGGATGCTAGCCAGCTCGCCATCTCGATCGCTGTCACGGTCGCGCGCAGAGCTAACGACTCTGCAGGGACGGGCTGCAGCATAGCTCCTTTTGTTTAGACCCGCTCTCTTTGTTATTCGCATGCAGGCGCTGCGGCCGCCAGAACCGCGCCGCCGCGCGAACGACCAATCAGGTCGCTTGGTAAACTTTTTCTTGTTTTGTTTGAAGGTGTCAGAGGGAACATACTGGATTTGTCTCTTGCGACAATTGAGCCAGGGGTTGAAGGGAGCACACTCATAGCTGTACTGTCAAATGACGAAGACCAAACATTATTCACCCTATTCCAACTCCCAAACTCCACAAAGAGTAAGCCACACATTGATTTTCATCAAAGACACTAGGTATTATTAAATTTCCTCCTCTCCTAACTAGAAGATCTTCTGGTCTATATGACGGAGAGGCTAAGGAGTTCTCCAGTCAGTATATTTGCAGGCGAGAAGTTCTATTATCAGTACCAGCATCGAGATTCTCCCTCTGCTCACCCGACACCGTTTTTGCTGTTACTAACAACGGCCAGGATCTTGCAAAATTCTCCCTCCCTCCAGTGGAACAGAAGGTATGCTGTAGTGTCAGGTTGTACAATATCATGCATCTATTTCCCAAAAGGATGTAGATTTGATGTTATCACCAGAGAGCATCGTTGCTGTCCATGATAAAGGCACGGTGCAGTTAGAGCTGTCATTCCACCAAAAGTGGATTGCTTCTGCTGGCAGCGATGGCGGATTGCTCCTTAGGCTGGTGGAAAACCAGGTAAGATGTGCCACAGCATATAAAATGCGCATATTGCGAGGTTTCTTCAGGACGGCCAGTTGGTCTAGAGGCATGATTCTCGCTTAGGGTGCGAGAGGTCCCGGGTTCGATTCCCGGACTGGCCCCTTTTTTCTATGCTTCTATCTTTTTATTTTACATCTTTTAGCGTTCCAGTTGGTCTACTTGCTTACAACCTTTTTGATTTAAGATTTTTTACATCACATCCAAACAGGAGAAGGCAGTGATATGTAAACCTCACAATTACCGGAGGAACGGCTGCACTGCACTTGTTTTTTCCAGAGACTCTCAGCATATCGTCACAGTGGGGGATCAGAGTACCATAAACTGCTGGAACTGGGAGTCAGTTATGCTATATACAAAGACCACATAACACACTTCACATATTTCATTTTGATAGGTTTACGAACCATGGCAGTGTGAAGGCACAGGCAGCTGGAGACTATTTGGAACGAGTATTGCATTCTCTCGGGAGCCAACACGACCAGGAAAACACTGCCCTAGAGGCAATGCCTCCTGTGTCGGAGGAACCAACAGAAGAACAGAGTACTTGGCTTGAGGCAGTCGAAGAAAAAGTATAGATAGTGGCCCGTAAAAATGCATGGAAGTGATGTATGCTGATGTGAATATGCAGGTGCACAAGGCAGAGGACGAGAAGTACGCCGACTGCAAGTCTGAACTGCGTCGGGAGATTGGTCAGCTGAGGGGGAGGCTCCTGGAGATGATTGACAGCAACGAGGGGGCCCCGGACTTGGAGAGGCTTGACAGGGAGGAGTTTATTCTCGACATGGAGCAGCACGACCGTCTGCAGGCCGAGGAGGACCAGCAAATCCAGCAGGTCAGTTGTCACGATGTGTGTGTGTATGTGCCTCTAAACTTGAGGGATGATCCTGTTGAGTCAGGTGAAGGAGGAGATTCAGCTGTCCAGCCTGGCTAAGATGTTTCTGAGGCAGCAGATCAAGAGCGAGTGCTGGGACAGCATGGCTGTCAAAGGGAAAATCATAAAAGTAAGTGAAAGTGGGAGAGAGGTAAAACGAAAGACCCGACAGAAGAAAGCGTTCCTTATGTCTTAAGCAAGAGACTATGAAAATGTGTCTATAGAGTAGTGTTCTCATTTCACCCACTGAATATGTGAATCATAGGCGTTCAGGGGCTCTCTAGAGGTGAGTAACTATCCAATGATGTCACGCTCGGAGAATGAGGTGAGGGAGCTGGCGAGAGTCAAAACACTCCGGACAGTGGAGCAAGCTGACAGGGAGGTGAGTGTGGAGAGCCAGAGGAAACAGTCAAAGATGAGTCACTCGTCTCTCTCTCTCTCTCTCTCTCAGGCTCGAAATGAAGCCGTCGACATTCTAAGAAAGGCTGCGCAAGCTAAGGTATGATGCAGTGTCATAGTCGGTACGGTTCTTTCAGGGTTTGGAAGTTGTACGTAGGACGAGGTGGAGGAGGAGGAAGAGGAGGGAGGGGATGAGGGTGCTGCAAAGGAGGAGGGGGAGGAAGGAGATGCCGGTGCTCTTTATGGCAGCCATGGACCAAAGTTTGGCGGTGGATGTGAGTTTCTCTACAGCCAGTTTGAGCTCCACTCCCCCGTGGCCAGAAAACACCAGATCACCCTGCTGAAGGTGCCTTGGGATCCATACCATACTACATATGACACACAATACGTTATGTACATGTGGTTGTGTGACTGTATAGGACTGCATGCACCGGATTGCCGAGACGTTCAACAAGGAGTTTGAGGAAGTGGCGCGACTCAAGCAGGCAGAAATCGCCCGAATCCGTGAGAAAAACGTCCGCATCAGCAAGATTATTCAACAGCTCCAGCTGACGGAACAGCTAGTCCAGCCAACACTGCAGTCAGAGGAACAACCTGAAGGGATGCTGACAGTACAGGTGACACACAAAACCCTGTTTTTGATGCTGTTGCCTGTTTACTAGCTTTTCCCTGTTTGCTTTTAAAAAGCTCTATTTCTACACTCTAGTGTGCCTGAGTTCCAACTATTCAGAGTTTAGTTACTCCAGTACTCACTCATTGTATTACAAGTCAACCTGGTCTAGTGTATATACTGGTGTTAGGACGAGGAGGTACGTGTGGAGAAGTACCTGTCGCCAGAGGAGAGGCAGAAAGAGGAGGAGGCTATGAGACTGGAAGAGGAGAGGAAACTGGCTGAAATGGTGAGGAGAGGGCAACAGTGGCTAACTATCTACTGTGTAACTGACCTGCAGGGAGACAATCCTAGGGAAAGGGCTCTCGACATGATGATGGGCGGAAGATTGGAGGCCAACGTAGAGGAAGACCTCTTCAAGGCAAATAGATTCACGTCACCTTAATGTTATTACTCACCTTATACTTTTCCTGTGCTTGTGTACAGGACCTTCCGCGACCAGATTTCATGCAGAAGGATCCGGCCGAGCGGACAGAGGAGGAGATCCGTGCAGCGCTGGAGTTTGAAAAGAAGGAGGCGGAGTTCCTGGAGGAGAGGGAGAAGCTGCGGAAAGCTCTGGAAGGGGAGCTGAGGAAACTACAGTCGACCATTGCTCAGGCCATGGACAACTTTGACGAGAGACTCCGCAAGCTCTTTGACCTGAAAATCAACACCGAAATGGCGCTGCATCAGGTTGTGAATTATAGCATTGTGTAGCCAAAGCTGTTGGGTGTTAGTTCAAACCTCACTACATCTGTGTGTCCGTCCTACTCGTGTGTGCAGGAGCCGTTGAAGGTGGTGGGACTAGTGAGCTCGCTGCAGGTAGAGGAAGAGATAGCAGGTAGAGAGAGGCAACTCAACGCTCTGCTGGAAGACAAGAAAACCTTGAAGGTTCCCATGAAATTTCCCTGTCTTAGCGGGAAGCTGGCTACCCGAGTCCCTCCCTTCCTGATTTGCAGACCCAACTCTCAGTTGTGATAAAATCAGCCAGGACCAAGACCGACGAGTGCAGAGAGTTGTACGATCAGATGCTGGCAGACGACAAGACCCTCGACCGCAACTTCAAGAGAGACTTTGCCGACTGCGAGCTGTTTGTCGACCAGCTCTACAAGCTGTTCAAACGCAGACCTAGGCAAGTAGAGAGAGACGGTGCCAAACACACCACAGTGGTAGAGTGAAGTAGTAGAATGTTGTGAGTGTGTGTCTGTCTTCTGCAGAGGTCAGAAGCTGAAGCCAGGTGCCAGTGAAGGGGGGCTCATGTCGGTTCAGAAATCGCAGAATCCGTTCTCCCAGCGCCCCCCGACGGCAGCAGGGGACGGGCAGAGATTGTCGGTGAAGGGGTCGGAGGACGGGATGAGTGAACTGGACCACCCCTCTCACATGCCGGAGGGAGTGGATGCCGTTCAGTGGGACCGACTGGTGTTGGCTCGTCGCAGAAAGTACGACAGCGAAACTAAGGTGTAAAGTGTATGCCAGGAGAAAGATGTAGCTACATAAAATGAGTGTATGTATTGCAGTTGAAGGCAGTGGCACTGAAACTGGCTGAAATGGAGTCCTTCCTGAAGCGCAGACAGATCGAGGAAGACAGGCTGCAGGCTGAGATACAGGACGCCTTCTCTGAGCTCAACAGGTCTTTTGTCATGATATACCTCCACCACGCTGCACACCCCAAACAACCCGGCCTCTCGACTTTCTTTCTCTCTCTCTCTCTCTCTCTCTCTCCTTGACTATATTATTACACTGCAGACTGAGTGAGGATAAGACAACCTTCAACCTGGACCTGGCTGTCCAGCTGCTACTCAGACAGGGCCAGGTGGAGGTAGAAGAAGGAGACTTTGTCCCCGACTACTCTGGCAGCGTCCTCGTACACCGCAGAGCCATCGAGGAGCTCAACAAAGAGATAAAGGTACGTAAACAGCCAACTGTGCTGGTGTGACAATGTGGTGTATATACTGCACTACTCATTACTACTACAGACCCACGGAGAGGGAAAGCTTGCCAGCATGAACGAGTGCAAGGATTTCAAGAGTGGCATCAGACTCCAGGAATGGTAGGCAAGCACCACAATCACACAAAGAAACAGCCTCTGTAGAAAGAGAGGCACACATCAACTTGCCCCGAGACAATCACATGAAGAATTTTGATCTACGGAGTGTTTCCACAAAAGTGTGTAATGACTGGCTGCTATCTGCACAAAACTCCCACTGTTTTCAGCCTCAAACGTTGTTTCCTGCTAGTTTAATGCATATTGCTTCAGAGTATCTTCTGCTATTCTGTGTGTGTGTGTGTGTGTTACACTAGGGAGTGCAAGCGTCTGAAGATGAAGGTGGAGGATCTCCAGGAGCAGGCGAGGGAGGTGCAGCTGCTGCGGGTGACCAAGGACCTCCAGCTGAGTCTGAGTGAGGAGGGCAGCGGAGGCAGAGACCAGCACGATATCGAGACCCTCGAAAAGACCCTAGAGCTCAATGAGAGAGTAGGTTACTCTTGTTATGTTAGCCGTCTCTCAATGGTCATTACCTACAGACATACAAGAAGAAGGCCAGGGAGAAGAAGAAGCAGTTGGCCAGGCTGAATGCTCAGGGAGAGAAGAGGAGAGTGGAGAACAGGGAACTCGACCAGGCATTGGTGGAGAAGCAAGTTTCAGTGCTGGAGAGGCAAGCTGCTGAGAAACTGGCTGGTAAGTGCACATATTTTGCCCCATGGGCGAAGCAAGCACTTGTGGCGCAATCGGTTAGCGCGTTCGGCTGTTAACCGAAAGGTTGCTGGTTCGAGCCCAGCCAGGTGCGACTTTTTTCACCCATTGCCCATCTCACTTTTTTGTGCTTTACAACAATACCCTTTCACACATAAAACCAAAATTTTAAAGCCTTTTTTCTTCGCCAGGAGTGGCACCATCAGAGGCGGGTGCTAGACAAAGGATGGCTGACATAGTGTCACGGAGGAGAATGGTGGAACTGGTCAGAGCTCAGGCGGCAGAGATACAGGTGTTGAGGGCAGAGCTAGAGAGACTCAGAATGGCCACCTTCCCTGCCCTGGTCCAGGTGGACTAGTCGGTAGTCACCGTAACTTTACAACCCTACACCGTACCTGTCACGTAATATATATAAATTTCCATGTAACCTTGTGGCAGCCACACGGATTCACGACCGAGTATAAGGTTGCTCGTAAATTTTATGATGGCTCTCCTAAACCTCTAAAATTTGCTGGTAACTCAGGGAATCGTAATGTTCGATGCTTGCAAACACAAAACTCAGAGTTGTCTTTAAAATGTACACAGAGTGATGCAATGAAAAGCAGTTTGAATTTTTGATCAATTCCTAGTCTAATTTAAAAACAGTCATGTTTGACAGAGAGGGGAGCTATAGACAATCGTCAAAGTAGTTCTGGTGTGAACTGTCGACGTTCTCGCTCCACTCTCGCTGCATCCTGAACCAGTCGTGCCAGCGGTCCTCCCCCCTGGCGCCTCCTCCCTGGGTGAAGGGGGTGAGGGACATCTGGGCCAGTCGGGAGTAAGACTGGGTCACCAGCCTCTCCTCGTGGCTGGCCTGCTGGTCTTCTCTCGTCTCCCTGGGTGGTGGCTCCGGGAACTCCTCTGAGGTCGGGAGCGAGGGAGACCTGCAGAGGAAGAGAGTTCGGCTAGGTTCACAATAATACGTTGCATTGCCTTGTCGCGCCTTGCCTGCGTTGCCACATCGCAAAGATAGAATCCATTTCTACAAATAATTCGCAAGAGACTCCAACAAAAAGGGATCGAAGGAGCACCTCTCAGGACAAATCTCGGCTTCCAAAAACTTATGTTTAGAAGGCATAAAAGTACGGGAATGTTGAGTGCATTGAGCGCGTGAACTGGTGTTGTGGTCTGACCCGAGCCACTTGCGACGGAGCATGGGGTTACTGGAGAGGGACGTAAACTCCATCTCGTCATCGTCTGTGTCATCCACTGTCATAGACAGTCCTGCGTCGGTCCCCTCTATTGGCCACACTAGACAATTGGAAATAATGCCGAGACTGCACAACAGTACACGGATAATACTCACAAGAGTCCATTCTTGGAGGTGGTGGATATCGCCTCTGGTTTTCCTCCTACAAGAACAGAGGGCCACAATAAGGCTCTACAAGCCTCAATTTGCTCAACTGCTACTTATGTAGCCACAATCTGTTCTCTATCCACTAGCCAAAGTCTCAGTTTGCTCTAACTACAGTTCCAACTACATATACCAGCCTCAAATGGCACTCTAATTAGAGCCCTCAACAGGGACGGTGTGTTTGACTGACTCACCACTGATGACTGCCCATCGTCCTGCCGCTCCAGCACTATCGGCTTCACATACTTCTTGATCCACTTCAGAATACACTCTTCGGCAACCTAGAGAGAAGAGAGAGAAACATCGGTCGATGAGTACAATTGTAGGTTATGCTCACATCAAACTGTATGCTCTCCTCCAATTCCTGTCTGTCGTAGAGCTCCTGTGGCTCCAATCTCTGGGAAATGTCCTCGGCACGATAGGCCAGCATCCTGTGTCACAAAGTTTTTAGTCATAATTATACAAAAGTCTGGCCCGCAATATAAATGGGCCTTGCTATGTGTAGGAGAGGACTCACTTGAGGACACTCTGAAATGAGTGGTCTCCTTCTTCCTCGTTTATCAGCATCTCCTCGCTCAGCTGTTTGCTCAGCAGCGACTTCCCACCCCCTCCCCCTCCTCCTCCTCCTCCGTGGGGTCCCCGCTGTAGCTCCTCGGCCATCTCCCTCAGTATCAGTGAGTCTGTCAGCGGATGGACCTGGTCTCTAATCTGTGTATATACATAAATCGTACCACAGGGATATACTAAACTTCTCGCAGCACGTGGAAGTTCAACAGCAAACCCAGGTATATACGTAGTATGCCATAACCTTTAAAGCCCGTGATTTCAATACCTTGAACTTTATTCCGTTGACTTCAGTCAGACTGTAGGTGTAGTAGTGTGGAAGTCGAAGAGTTCTCAGGAACAGCTTGATCCGACTGGACTTTATGGTACCCTGCACCAAACACACACACACACACACAGTGTAAGGGGGCAGCAGAGAAAAAAGAGAGGGAGAGGGTCAAGGGAGGAGTAAGTAAACTCTGGAGGTGGGGAGAAAAGAAGATAGCAAGAGAGAGAGAGAGAGAAGGGAGAGAGGAGATGGGTGAGAGACCTGTGCAGTCTTGTCAAAGTGCAGCCAGTTCTCTCGGAAGTCTTTGATGACGGCGTGGCTGATACTGGTGTCGTCCTCGTTGTAGAAGATGGAGAAGTTCTCCAGGAGGTGGGCAATGATGATGTTGAGGAGGAAGACCGTGATCAGGATGTAGTACGTGATGAACCAGAATGCGGCAGCCACCACGTTCCCGCAATTCCCGTCCAGCTTCGAGCAGTAGTGGTTCCCAATCTACGATTGGATCACAGACACTCCTTGGCACGTGCACCGCCGAAAGCTCTCGGCCTATGTAAGTCTACTGGATACACGGTATAATCCTTATAGGTTTCCTCTCAACATCTACACACACACTAGCAAGCATTCATAAAACCGCCAACCAGCTCTGGTTTAGCCTGGGCTGCACACTTCATTTATACATGTGGAACAAGCATTTTTGTTGAAAACGACTGCAAAAAACTATGAGCATGCAAAAGGTCCCATCCACTGTCTCTCACCATTGCATCCCGCATGAGGTGGTGCCAGTCTTCACCAGTCATGACGCGGAACGCCAGGGAGAAGGAGGGGAACGCCCCGTCAAAGTTGATCCGACTGAACGAAATTTCTTCCCCCGTGCGGAGGTTGGAGAAGATGATGGCCCCGACAAAGGCGTAGGTGAGGATGATGAGGAAGAGGACAAAGAGGAGTGGCGTCGAACCGATCAACGTCCTTGCCACGGTGATACTCAGGTTCTGCATGATACTCTGAGAGAGTGAGGAGGGAGAGTGGAAAGAGGTATATAGGATGCGCAGGAGAGAGATGAAAAGACGATGGGAGGAGGGGAGGGGGGAGAGAGGGAGAGAAGGAGTGTGAGGTATAGTTGATCTCATGCTGTAACTCACATATTTCCCAAGTATAGTGAAACACTTCAGCACAGCATAGCTGACGGCAAAATTGGCCAAATCCGTTCTGGTCTATAGTGAAAGAAATTTAACAACAAATGCATACCATTTTGGTATGCGAGTGCGAGCAAGTCAAGCATGACATTTAACTATGAATAACTGGGCTCACTCACTCACCAACACACACATACACTATTACGTAAGGATACAGAGAGAGAGAGAGAGAGGGGATAGTACTGCATTACCTGGTGAGTCACAGAGCTATACCCGTGTGCCAGCACCACCAGAGCCCACACGATATAGCAGAGACCCAGCAGCGAGATGAGTGTGTCTGCAATGGTTCTCCAGCTACCGAAATAGCCCTTTGGACCAAACGCCAGCATCTTGACACATTGCTGGTGGGAGGGAGAATGTATGTATGTATGTACGTATGTATGTATAATTGCATGGTAAGGATATTATACTAGAATGCCAAGTTTATTACGTGTAGGCTTGCTAACACCCTTCACTGGTTCACTGGACAGTGGAGAATGCTGTAGGTATGTAGCCCAAATACAGGACTTGGCAGATACATAGCACACACAACAAGAAAAGAGAGCAGAGCTCAGTGAGAAAGGTTCAACAGTATATCAAGACCTCCTGCATACATACATAGGTACATATATGTATGCTTACCTCTAGGGTGAAGTAGAGAGCAAAGACAATCACCAGAGATATGAGTGTGACTGTGGCAGATGATCGACCAGTACTCCACTGTACATAATATATAGAGACAAATACTGAAGGGCTACTAGCATCGCACTAGCTTAGTTGAAGTTTGTCTCATTTTCATTCTTGTACAATTTTACAACAACTATTAAGTGTACATCATGCACTGCAAGTGTGTGTGTGTGTGCGTGCTTTTCGTGTGTGCGGTGCGTGTGTGTGTGTGTGCGTGAGTTACTCACTGGAAGACAGAAGCAGAAGGACTGAAGGAGAATCATGACGGTACTGAAGTGAGTGAATCGTCTGTGGATCACAATTCTGTACAGAAACAGACGAAACCTGTTGTGTTCTGGGGAGGAGAGGGGGAGGACGGGGAGGAGAGGGGAGGAGAGGGGAGGGGAGGAGAGAGGGAGAGGAGGTAAGAGAAGACGTGAAGCAGAGGGAAGGTAGGAAGAAAGAGAGACAAGCAAGAGAGAGGGAATGAGAAATGGAGGAAGGGAAACACAAGTAGGGGAGAAGAAAGAAGAGACGGGAGCAGAGACAGAGAGAAAGAAGGAAAAGAGAGGCAAGTGAGGGCAGAGTGGGGGAAAGTGGGAGGCGACAAAGGCAAAGGTAGGGGGGAGAGAGAAAAGTGACACAGATGAGATGAGTAACGCAGCTCACCAGGTGGAGTGGGTCTCTTGACAGGTCGCAGGAGAGAGATCCTGAGCACCAGATCTGTCCACCTCTTCTGTCCCACGGAGAGAAGGGCCGTGTTGCCCGGCTTGTTGGCGTTGAAGTTGTTGACGACGATGCCCACAAACAGCTGGAGACCAATGTTGACTCCGAAGAAGATGAAGATGTGCAGGAAAACGGCCATGTACTGGGGTAGAGGCAATGCGGTATACTTACTGTACCGTACTGTTTTAAACTTTACTAGTTAATAATGTACCCTATAAAATACTTCACTGATAGTGTTAGACACTTCACTGATAGTGTTAGACACTTCACTGATAGTGTTAGACACTTCACTGTGTGGTGTGCTTTTGCTAGCATTCCGAGCTACCGGCATTTAAAACACTGAACCCCATCCCCAAGTCTTAGTACACTATATACCCCCAGTGCCTGAACCTCACCCTTCAAATTGCTACCAACTACAGATAGATGGTGTGCAGTGTGTGAGAGCTAGAGCTGACCCAGGCCTCCTGCGTGCTGGGAATTCCCGGGGAGACAGGGTCGCGAACGAGCATGTCCCTCACGTCCAACCACCCCTCCAGAGTCAGCACCTCGAACATTGTCAGCATCGCCTTCAGTGTGTTGTCAAAGTCAAAATCCCGACGATGGGTGTACCTGTGTGAGGGTGCATCATAGCCCCATACATCTATACCATGCGTATCTTGCATATCCCTCTATACTGTACACATATAGTGATACAGCGCAGCTGTAGTTGTGAGGAGGGAAAGTGCAGAGAAGACAAATGACAGAGACGGGAAGAGAAGACTACAGCTCTAGTCGGAGGTTAGAGTGGGAAATATGGAAAGAATGCGAGCAAGCAGACGAACCGAAACAAATGGCAAACAAACAAGAAAAGAGAAGGAATAGTGGTAAGAAGAAAAGTAAACAGTTTGTAAGAAACAAAAAACAGAGGGGGGGCGCAAAAGAATGAAGAAGTGACAAGAAAAGGCCGAGGAAAAGACGATAAAAATAGGAGCAGAGGAAAGAAGATGAGGAAGCAGTAGTTTACCAGACTGTGGGGACCAGGATGCTGGGAGAGTAGTTTGAGTTGGGAAGAAACTCTCTGGACGTGGTGATCCTGAGTCTCACCGTCGGACTGCGGAGACACTCGGCCAGCGACCGGCTGGACGGGTCGTTGCAGAACGCCTGTGGACCCTCCGGGTAGTCCCCTGCAAACAGCTGTATAAATGGATGGGAATGTGTATGTATGGTAAATAGTGTGGCAAGATAACAACCCCAAAGAAATATTGTGCGAGGACTACGTATGAGTGGTTCAGTCGCCATGCTAAATGGGCTTGCTTCCAATTGGCATTCAAGCATATACCCATAACCGGAACTACTCAGTTATTCTTACGGAGCCAAAAAGTAAAACGTTGCCCACAGAGCAGTGTTTGTACGTATGTATGTATGTATATAGTAGTTTGCACCTGGACACCGAGACTGGCAAACATGAATATGGCAAAGAGGAGGACGAGAACGCCGAACAGCAGCTGCTTCCAGCCGAGCAGCACGTCGTAGATGACTCGGCGCATCTGCGGGACGAGGCTGATGGCTCGCAGGGGACGCAGGGCGCGGACGCAGAGGAGCACGACGAGGTAGAGAGGGAGGTGGGAGAGGGCGAGGGTCTGACGGACGGCGGCACCGCAGACGGAGGTGTTGAGGATGAGGACGGCCGCGGACGAGATGACGACCACCCAGTCCATCACGTCCCACACACTGCGGATGGCTGCATCGGGGTTCAGGAAAAACCCGTTTGCCAATATCTAAACACAGTGGAAGATATCCCTCTTGAAATTGACTACAAATATATGCAGTATAACCACAAAATTTCACACTAAGGCCCTCGTTATTTGATAGATATATAGATTTGCCTGGAAACTTCACACATTGCTCACCTGCTGTATAATCGGTCCTACCCACAAAAAAAATGGTAAAACTTGCGTTTAAAAACAGCAATGTTTGCTAGTATATTCTACTTTGATATACTGTATAATGTAGAAATAGACAGTATTTTTAAACCTTGAGGGTGAGCTCGACGAGGGTGAACAGGACAAATAGGAAGTCGGCGGTCCAGAAGTAGACAGGCTCCATGTCAACGGGGACACGGACGTCTGAGGTAGTGGTGGTGTTGAGGATGATGTTGGCGGGTCTGCCGAACCTCGTCTGCAGCTCGGCCAGCTGGACTGCGATGGCCGAGAGGGTGATCATCACCATCAGCCAGGAGAAGTAGGGCAGACGACTCACCAGGTAGCTATACAAGGGGAGGAGGGAGTGACAGTTACACTAGTAGCCCAATGTGGCTCCCTTCAGCTCCTCACCGGATGTAGTAGGAGAACCTGTTCTTGATGAGGTTGACTGGAGTCAGTCGAGTCCTGACGAACGGGGGCTCACTCATCTGCCGCGTGAGCACCGCCCTGCAAAACCGTCTCAGTCGGTTGTCGGGGGACATGATAAATAGGGCGCTGTCAAACAGGCGGTACTTGGCCCGATACTGGTCAAACTCGTCTTCAACTGGCCTGCAGGTGGAACAGCCTTCAGTCTTCACACTGAACCGGGCTTCATAACCTTTTAGACAAGTCCTTACCCCTCTTCTTTTGCTTCCCCTTTACCCATCCCCCCCCCCACATACACATCTCTTACTGGGAGGTGTCTTGAGATCTTCGGCCCCCAAAGAGCCCCCCTCGTCCTCCGACTCCGTCCAGTCCGGGTCTCCTGCCCTCCTGGTCCGTGTTGAGCTTCCTCAGCCACCGCACGCTCTCCAGAATACCCTGAATCACTGCACATGGAACAAACACACGTACACACACACACACACACGTGAGGGTGAAACGGAACCAAGAGAATGGTACTACACACACACCTAAAATTGGGCTCGTACCCAACATGCCATTTCGGCACAAATGCGACCACGACTCGGAATACATACAGTTCAGCACCAGTTTTAGATTCTTTACACTGTATCGGTATGATGTGTGAGCATGTATATGCACGGTGGAGATCATGTGCCCTTACACTGAAATCTCTCGTGGTGGCTGGAGGACACGGAGACATGGGGGTCCACAGACAGGAGGTTCAGTTCCGACAGCTCCGACGACCGTCTCTGGGTGGCGGCGGTGGTGGGCGGAGCCTGTTGCTGTGGAAATGCCTGGTCCGCAGCAGCACCCCCGGGGACGATGGCAGCCTCCTTTGCGTCCCTCGTCTCTCCGGACTCATAGAAACTCTTGACGTCGGCCACCGTCAGGTTGGGGGCCTCGACGCCGGCTGCGGCTGCGGCGGCCGAGATCTTCGGAGCCGAGATGAGTTTGGGTCCGCAGGCGGTGAGGACTCGTAGGTGAACGGGTACCGTCCGTGTCGTGTTCTTCTCCACCACCTGCTGGAGGAGCTCCCTCTTCGTGTCCTCGTCGTAATCCAAGTTGTCAAGGATCACAGCCGCAAAGAAGTTCAGGAGAATCTGCAGGGGAACGACAAACAAACGCCATTTTAACCTTCTCTCCGACTCTTGAAACACTAACTTACACGTGAACGCATATCGTGTTGAAATTTCATTTTTTGAAACACGTATATTAGTTCTTACCAGTAAAAAATCGGTAGTGAAAATAGTCTAGTCTACGGCAATGTTTTTTTTGTTGCAGTGTGCAATTTCATAGCGTCAGCAAACGGGGACCTTTATACATGTATGAATGTATGTACATATAGGTGTTGTCTTGTTAGAGAGAGAGAGAGCACCCACCAGGGAGGCGATGAGATGGAGACAGATGAAGTAGAAGTTGATGGGGAACCAGGTGCCCCTGTGGCACATGACTTCGCTCATGACCTCGCTCCAGCCCTCCTGCATGATCAGCTGGAACATGGACTGCAGTGCCTGTAGCACGTGACAGTCATGTGATGTAGCATGCGAAAGTCGTGTGAAAGTCATGTGATACACACAGCAACGAGTGGTGCATGAAACATGTTGCAAACAACAACGCCAAACTTTAAAGGTGAATAATGCTTCTGATTATGTTACAATATCTAGCCGTGAAATATATTGTATCCATGAAACTTTAAAAAAATGCCCGTCTGCAAATATTTTCCAACTCTAATAAATTTTGGTCCAGCAGCATACATACCACAAAGAAATTTTCGAAGGGTCCGTTTCCGAATGCCTTGCATTCCTGGCTGGGGGCGATGTAGCCGAACAGCTGTATGTTGATGACGGCAAAGACCACGAGGAAGATGCCCGTGAGCAGAATGATGACCAGCAGCTTCGTTCCGTCTCCCACTATCTTGAAGAAGAACTTCTTGATGGTGTGGTGGGCTCTCAGCAGCCGGGGAAGACGAGCCGCCTGCAAATGTGGGAGAAAGGGAAAAGTACACACAGCTATAGTCAGTGAATGAAACGCTCAGTACATCATAAAGGTGCCCTTCCCTCCCGCCAAAAGCAATAACTTTTGAGGGAAAGAATAATTCAATCGTTCTGTTTTCTAGAAAGAAAAAATAAGAAATTGAAATTCTAACCAACAAAACACCACACGTAGACTATTAAAAAAATGTACGGATGGCTCTCAAACATTGAAGAATTTTTGAGGTATGGTCAATTTGGCTGCCGTGTATTGTTATGTATTAGAGCAGACCTGAAAGACAGCCAGTATGTTCCCGGCACTGAGAGGATAGTAGAAGTTATTGAGAGGCAGAGCAGCGACAAGGCTTCCGCCAGCCACAATGATGAGGTACCAGTAGTACGGGTTGCGGAGGAAGAGGGAGTACTGGTTGGTGTTGACCAGGTGGAATATTGCCAGTCCCACAACCTCACCGAGGAAGATGACACTCACCAGTCCCTGTGGTGAGATGGAGAGGGGGAGATGGGAGAGGAGAGGAGGTAAGGAAGAGAGGGAGGGAAGATTTCAATGAGAAAAGTAAGAGAGTGTTTCGATATCAGTGGGGAAGCAGCAGCCCACCTGCCACACTTGGAGAGTGATGGCCAGGTTTTCGTCCATGTCGGTGTGTTTGAGAGCTGTCACTAGGGCGTCGATGGCGACCAGGCCGAGGAAGACCTTCTCCGCCCGGCTCGTGTACCACTTGTGGAGGCTGTTGGTAAACTCGACCGATTCCTCCGTCCTCTGGGTCTGCAGTTTTAGTCTGTCTCCCAGGTCAACAGCACTCGCCTGCTCTGTCAACACCTGCACAGTACGCCAGTCACATAGTAATTCCCGGAGCATGTGTGTACAGTGTATGGTGCTTTGAGGACGCCATACCATGTGCTGGTGTACCACCACTGTCAGTTGAAACGGCATTGAGCTCACATAGAAAGCTAATGGTACCGAGACGTTCACACACTAAGTTATATACCAATGTAGGTACTACACACTAAGGTACTGTCTGGCAAGGTACTGTCTGAGAGTAGTGTGGCAAGCGAAGGGAGCCTACATTTCATCCCGAGTCGTGTTCTTGACTGGCGCCGTACATTTACTGTACCGATTATGTAGGAGTGAAACAGCTGAACGAGAGAAAGAGTCCTCGTGAACGTGTTCTTACAATGAGTGGCTTGTCTTTGGTTTTCGGTGCAGATCCAATCGCCTTACCGCTCCTCAGATCAGCAAATGACTCGATGATCACCACCAGAAATATACTTTGCTGTGGTATATAACAGACAGGAAAAGTAGCAAAGAACATACGTATAAGAGTCCGTTTTGCTAAGCTTGTATGTATGAACCCAAAAGAAAATCAGAACGACTTTCCCACCAGCTTAGACCTGCTTAAAAACACGGGCATTGCAAGAAATTTGAGAAACTCCTTCTAAAAAGCAAATCGAAGGCCTCCTAAGATAAGAACCCCACCTCCAAAGCCGCTAGCTGAAGGCTTTGTGTTCTTAGAGTGAGAACGCCGACCAGAGAGGCATGGACGTATACCTGGACAAAAATGACGAGATAGAAGACCATGGTGAAGTAGAAGAGGGCGGGCACACCCATGTGAGATGGAGCTCCGTCAGACGCTGTGTAGGAGAAGAAGGACCAGAGCTCCAGACTGGTGGCCTCGTAGACAGCAAACACTGCGTCCACTGTGGAGGAGGGAGGAGGGAGGAGAGGGTGAGGGGTGAGACGAGAGAGATAGAGAGCATTCTTATAAGACGCTCATAGTAGAGGGGCAGCACTCTCTATTGCTAATACATTATTTAACCCTGTTCATAAACGACTGCCTCCGTACAGTGCACCTCATGGTTTCAGCATGTTGCATTCAGCTCATACAAAAACTAAGCACTGCTCGGGAAAAATTCCACCAAACAAGTCCAGAGATGGAAAAATTTCCACCAAACAAGTCAAGAGACGGGAGAATTTCCCGCAACAGTTATAGATAGAGGTGGATCGTGACAGACCAACAACTCACCAATGGATCTGAACTGCCCGAAGTAGACCTGATTCCTGAAGGCGAGGTTGTAGGGCTGAGAATCCTTGGGGAAGATCATGCACTGGATGACGTCGGGTCGACTGCTGCCTCCGTAGCACTGCTTCTGGTATTCTGATCCGTACGGATTGCAGTGGGTGACCGGGACAGCCAGAGACCTGCGCAGAGAGAGATACGTCATTACGCCGTTTATATAGAGGACAATAAACGTCTATACACACCAGGTTGCCTACATATCACACAGACAGAGATTATACCCGGTCTACATTATCCTCCGAGATAAAGCTCTCTCCCTCAATCAGACTAAAGTTTGTCAGAAATTATAAAGGCATAAAAGGCGGTTGTGTATCCCAGCACATGCATGAGAATGAAAATTCATGAAATTAGGTATTCTGGAGCCATTATCAACAAAAACGTAGCAACTCACATTTCGCTGGTGTTGCCATCGACGTAGACACATCGATGGCCGAGCCCACCAACCACCTGGACGCCAATCAGGGCGTAGATGTAGAGAAAAAACAGGTAGAAGAGAGCCACGAAAAACAGCTGCTTCCATCTGAAGAGAAAAGAGACACACACAAAAGGTCAGAAGGAAGAGCGTGAGAGATGTGGCTTTAAGGCACGAAGATGGAAGCAACAAGGAGACAGAACGGAGCATTCACCGTCACGGCCGCAGGAATTGAACTGCCCTCCTCGACTATATCACCTAAAATTATTTTGCTCATTTCCCCACTCCTGCTAAATTAATTTCAAGATTAATTTCTATGTACACCAAAGCCTAGATGGGATTAAAAATGTCTCTACAAATTTTTCAAGTGAGGAAACTTTGAGGATGGGTAAAAAGGAAATGGAGCCTGTCACTCAAACGGACTCCGTGTGGTTATCAGCCCGCTTCTCTCTCCTCACTTGATGTTCCCAAGGAGCTCCTTGACGGAGATGGGCAGCTGGACGTTGACAAACAGCTGGATGGTGGTGAGGACGGCGAGACTCCTGAACGCCACCGGCAGGTAGAGGTACTGGTTGATGTCGCTACCGTCTTCTCCCTCCCGCACACTTCGGGCAATCTGAGGGGACAATCCAACCAACGAGAAACAGTTGATATACAGACACCACTGATATTATTATACAGGTTAGCTGATTGAGGGGGACTGAATTTTTGTCTTAGCGATTTTGAAACTTTAACACTGCAAGATTGAAATGTTTAACAATTTAATAAGCCGCTGCATTTGGCCCCTAAAGCTCCCCGAAATTTAACACTTGGAGAGCATATCACAGATTATAGCAATCGTCTACTGTACCTACTCACCCCAATGACGACTGACCACCAGAGGCTTACGGTGACAAGAGTGAGGTTGATGAGTCTGTACCAGGAGGTTAGCTGTGAGTACCTGGCCTCTCCTCCTGGCTTTGGGGAGAGGAAGAAAGCAGAGGGAGAAAGGGGTTAGAGTAGCAATCAGTACTGTATAATCCTATGAAACCCCTTACACGATCTTTCTGGACGCGAAGATAGATGGCGTACTCAATTCTGGCGATGAATTGAATGGTGTATAGGATGCTAATGAGGAAATCGACGCAAATGATCACCACAAACCAAACGAACTTCTTCTGACATCTCTCGTTGCCCTTCCCCACGTCCGCGGAACAGGTCACGAACGGAGCAGAGAATATAAGAGACAGAAGGTTCACAAATGCACAGACACTGCGAGAAACACAAGAAATCACAAACAGTAGTCCCAGCTGGCCCCCAGCCATACCGAAAAAATTGCCGCATGTATTTTTTCTCGACGAACACGCGAAAGAAAGGCCAGCATCTTCGCGGCGTCCCCTCCTCCACGTCCTCGTCCGCATCTCTCGATCCCAGCTCGTGTCTGGCCGCCGACCTGCTGCCACCTTCAGTAGTAACCTCGTCGCTGTGGGCGGCGGTCCCGCCGCGGGTCCTCCGCGTCTGGAAACGGTCTTTGCGACGCTGGGCGCTTCTTGACAGCCTCTTGCGCCGGGAGTCGCTGGATGGTGAAGGTCTGACGCCCAGGGAAGGTGTAGAAGACGACATGTTAGCTCGATCCCTAGCCGAGGCTCGCAAACCACACACAGCGATCGAAGAAGGCGTGGTCTGGTACTGAGGTTCAAAGTTCAAATCACAGCTGACCCGGAAGCGAATCGTAATGTGCGAGAAAGAATACTTCGTCTTTGTTCGCTCTGAGGATGGAAAAGACACTCTCAGTCTGCGCTTAAACCTTCGCGGAAGAGAGTGTCGCTTCTTGCGAGCCAAGAACGAACCCGTGGGGCGAGCTCTGAAGAGAATCGCGACCAACCTTGCGAGAAATGGCGAGACCAAAAGAAAGAAAAAGGGGAAGGGTGGTGATGGCGTCGACGACACGTTACCAGCCGAGGTTGTGTTGTATGCAGGCATTACAGAGGTGTCCTCTGAGACGGAAAACCAAGACGCCTGGGTCGGTGGTAACACACTTAGAGTGGACGACAGGCGCTTCGTTGTAACAGTGAACACACCTGCAGTGAAGTTCCTCAAGCTCCCCTGCTGTCTGTTGGCAACTTGTCCCGCCGTCCCCCTGGTATGGTGTTTAGTGCAGCTCCTTACAATCTCGCAGACCAGTCTCTCCTGCGAGACTACTCACTCTCTCTTCCTCTTCCTCTCGTTCTTGCCCAGGTGGAATTAGAGTTTGCTGATGTGGAGCACTGTCGGTGGGCATGGAGACGGTATGATCCAGCCAATCCTCTCCCTCCCACTGTTTTCCCCGAGTCTGCAGCCACTGACAAAGACAGACCGGTGGTTGACCCAAAGCCCCGGCTACCCATCTCCGACCCTATCATCAGTACGTCGTTCATATACTGGACGGCAGAGGAAGACGAAGGGTACAAACTAGTGCTGGAGTGCACACCTTGCAATGAGAGTGGAGAGGAAGGAGAGCCGGTAAAGGTGGTCTCCAAGAACATCGTGTCGAGGTTCTGGAACATTCCAATGATGGAGCGTCACCTCATGACACCGAACCATCTCGCAGAGCCTACCCAGTTCAGAGTCGTTTCGTACAACATTCTTGCCGATGTCTACGCCACTTCCGAGCGCGCCAGGAGCGCCCTCTACCCGTACTGCGACCCCTCGGCCCTCGACCAGGACTACAGACGGTGTCTAATTGCCAGGGAGCTACTCGGTTACCACGGAGACATTGTATGTCTCCAGGAGGTCGGTGCCAAGTGCTTCTCACAGTTTCTGTGTCCGGCACTACACCAGTGGGGGTACCAGGCCTGCTTCCACCCCAAGGCAGGCAAGACTCCCGAGGGCGAAGCCACTTTCTTCAACTCCTCCAAGTTTTCCCTGATCCAAGAAGATGCCGTGGTTCTTAGAGAGTTTGTTAATCAGTCTCCCAACTGCAGGGACATCCTCTCTCTGCATCCGCTCATCCTCGCCGATTTGCTCGAGAGACATAACATTCTGCAGACTGTTTTGCTCCGGTCGACCGAGATCACGAACTCTTACATTTTAGCCGCCAACACCCACCTCTACTTCCACCCAATGGGAGACCACATACGTCTGCTGCAAGTGGCCATCAGCCTCAAGATCCTTGGGAGTAAACTACGAGAATATCAACACAAACTTGGCACAGACGCTCGTTTTGCTGTCGTCTTCTGCGGAGATTTCAACAGCTGTCCGTGCACCGCTGCCTACAGCTATTTGTCAAGCGGGAGTGTTGGCGCGGGTCACCCTGACTGGCAGCTATACCGGGCGGCTCAGCCACCGCAGTGCAGCTGCAACCACAGGGCTCTTAACGTTATTCACGAGGACATAGGCGGCGACCAGTGGACGCAGCCTCAGTCAGCTCAGCTGCAAGATCGAGCCACTGGAGATTTCAGCACCGGTTTGGATCTCAGCCACAGTTTCAACTTTTCCAATGTCTGTGGCACACGACACTCCACCAACGTGACCCTGGGCTGGACTGGGGTAATTGATTACATATTCGCCGACTCCAAATGGCTGGAGACACTGCGTTATGTGCCGTTTCCAGCTCCAGAACACCTAACTGAGCATGTTGCTCTGCCGTCTATAAATTTTCCATCTGATCACGTGGCACTAGTGGCAGATTTGGCCTTCAGAACTAAACAACTTCAGTAGACGCCACAACAATAATAAGATGATGATGATGAGTGAAATGTGTTTAAAATCACGAGATTTAAAAAGTTGAAGATTTTCTCGGATCACCACTCCATGTCCATTTGAGTTGTGTGGAGAGGTTGTCTGATAACAGAGCATCATACAATATTATAATAGCGCATGAGGTTCTAAATGACTTACTGTTCCTCTGGCAGTGCCCTGGCATTTGATGGGTAGGACTTCCCTTTCACCCGCATGCTAATTGCTGACCTGTATATTATGTAGCATAATATAGGTGTCCTCAACAAACAACACATGAACGCCAAGAGGCTAAATAGGGCTGTCCTCACATGGTATATACATGTATACAGTTAGGTGTTCTGGAGCTGGAATACACTGTATATATAACCATCTTACACGTCATTATCGTCGTCGTCATCATCGTGCGAAACGAGTGAAGCAGTCTCCGAGGACGTGTCGTTACACCTCACGACTCGCGTGCCAGCTCTTCTGAAATAGTCGGAGAGGACGATGCCCACCACCACTCCCACTAGCGTGAACAGCATACTCCACCCCACTCCCAGCCAGTAGCCGTTCTGAGATCAGTGATAGAGACACACGTTAACACCACCGGAACTGTCACAGTGCATCTTTGGTGAACAAGGTCCAACGAATATGTGTATATACCTATATACATGCACAGAATCGGTTTTTGGCTGAGAGACCTCATTGGTAATTTGAATGACAAGGTATATAGACCTATTTTGCTTTCACCAATAGAAGTGTTTTGTAGCAGGAGGGACTAATGGAAAGGGGCTAGGCTTAACAGCATTCATAATAGTCCCCCTTACCAGACCATCCACTGCATTTTCACACACTGTGCTGTACACTGCATCGTAGGCAGCCGGGAACACCTTACATCGCCCCAATTCGTTCCTAATCTGTCGACAAACGAACAATCGTTGCATGCAATAGAGGCCGAGAGAGATACACCACACCCACCGTGTCATTGGCATAGTCAATGTAGTCGTCTACGAATCCACAGAGTCTGTCAATGTACCGATCCGTTGCCTGTTGTGCACACTGCAGTCAATTTCGAGAGCAAATTACTAGAATTCTCTCTTACCTCGGTCACTATGTCGTGAAGATTGGTTATAAACTGCTCCAGGTTGTCAACGAACACCACTACCTGAATGCAACACCAGAAGAAAACTCAATACTTCAGGTTTGGTAAAGTTAACAAATAAAGCATACTTCGTGTTCACTCGTTTTTATATCGATTTGAAGTTGACTGACATTGCCTTCAGCATGTCCCTGATAGAATACATAATGATATTATGATTGTCAATTATCATGATCAAAGAGGGTTGCCATACCCGCAGTCTTTGGAGGTCTTGAACAGTTCTTTGAATATACACCAGATCATCGAGGATTTGGGAAGCACGCTCGTGTACTGTAGTATTGACTGTTGAAGCATTCTGTGTGGAGAAGAAACAGTATGGGAGTTTCCAGTTCTTGTTTGTAAGAGCTGAATAACAAGTCAAAGAACAGTTATATACTATAGGGCCATAGACCACCCATCCAGAGGGAATGATTATGATTATAAAATGATACCCACCACCACGAGTGTCAAGTTTGCTTCAAGCTGAGTCAGATCGAAGGAGAGGAATTCACTCTCATTGATCTTCTCCGCAAACTCCCGGAAGTCTATTGTGGTGAATGACTCGTTGACATCAGCCAGGTAAGGGAAGATGTCTTCATTGGTGAAACCGTCAAATGGTAGGAAATCTTCACTCCCAACTCCAAGGGATGTGCAGTTGAAGGCCTGAGAGAGAGAG